TATATTTTGCTAGTTGACAGGCAGCCAAGCGCTGTTAAATCCTAAAATCCATCTCGTGACCTAGCAAAACATTCCTGAAATCCTTCCCAGTATTAGCAGGTACAAACGCTGGAGACTGGGAGGGCTGAGTTAGGTCAGAACTGTAAAAGAGAAATACAGGTTTAATATTTGGTGTATTGAGGTTTGCCCTTCACCCTTGACCCTCGGGTGGTGAAGCAGAGTTGCCAGGAAGAGGTTACTAGTAGGTATATGCCAGGCTCTAGGATGCTTTTTCTCACCAGTAGGGGGCGGTCATGGTGAAATCTGGTTTCAGAAAGGTTGTCATTGGTCAGTATGTAGTTCTGTGTTAACAATGCCTACAAGAAGCTTAGCATGTGCCATCACCAGCTTTCTCTGCTCACTGACTAGGATAAGAGGGTCTCACTGCTACTGCTTCCAGCCATAGACCAAAAAGAGATTAGACAATATGTAACATCTCATCTAGCCCCAGTTCATGGATTGCCCGTGTGGGCTCTGCCCAATCAGACCTACAGGCCACTGACTATAAACAGCAATGCAGGACAGTCAGTGGCTAGTATGGCTGGCGGTATGTACTAACAGCTGGTATGGCTGGCAGTATGTACTAACAGCTGGTATGGCTGTGACTGGCAGTATGTACTAACAGCTGGTATGGCTGGCAGTATGTACTAACAGCTGGTATGGCTGTGACTGGCAGTATGTACTAACAGCTGGTATGGCTGGCAGTATGTACTAACAGCTGGTATGGCTGTGACTGGCAGTATGTACTAACAGCTGGTATGGCTGTGACTGGCAGTATGTACTAACAGCTGGTATGGCTGGCAGTATGTACTAAGAGCTGGTATGGCTGTGACTGGCAGTATGTACAAACAGCTGGAATGACTGGCAGTATGTACTAACAGCTGGTATGGCTGGCAGTATGTACTAACAGCTCGTGTGGTATAGTATAAGAAATTACTTTGGAATTAGCAGTAGAGAGAGTTATGAATATTTGTTCATCGTGTTAGGGACTGGGCTGATTTTATTAGTGAGAACTTTGCACCTTCAGTGCCAATATCACATATCTGACATTTACGTACGTTGCCAGAAAAGAGTCATTAACAGTCACTCCTATCCCTATACAGGGAGAGCCGCCGCTTCTCCTCCTGGCTGAGCCGCTATCAGAAAGGGAAGCTCAAACCTGGGTTAAATACCCCCTGGCTGAGCCGCTGTTAGAAAGGGAAGCCCACACCTGGGTTAAATACTCCCTGGCTGAGCCTCTGTCAGAGATGGGCAGTTCTTCACACCTGAGTTAAACTCCCCAACCATGTGTACAGTTGAATAATGGGCTGTTATCACACAAGCAACGTGCACGCCAACTCACCACACTCATACCGTCACCACTGACCTTGCTGGTCTGTCCTCTTAACTCAGTGACAAGAATGATCAGATCACACAATGCAGCAACTGGATGCTTTAAATGCTGATACCATGACCTGACCCTTACTGCTACACAGTGCCTAATCCTGTCCTTTATACGGATACCATGACCTGACCCTTACTGCTACACAGTGTCTAATCCTGTCCTTTATACGGATGCCATGACCTGACCCTTCCTGCTACACAGTGTCTAATCCTGTCCTTTATACGGATGCCATGACCTGACCCTTCCTGCTACACAGTGCCTAATCCTGTCCTTTATACGGATACCATGACCTGACCCTTCCTGCTACACAGTGCCTAATCCTGTCCTTTATACTGATACCATGACCTGACCCTTCCTGCTACACAGTGCCTAATCCTGTCCTTTATACGGATACCATGACCCGACCCTTCCTGCTACACAGTGCCTAATCCTGTCCTTTATACCGATACCATGACCTGACCCTTCCTGCTACACAGTGCCTAATCCTGTCCTTTATACGGATACCATGACCTGACCCTTCCTGCTACAGTGCCTAATCCTGTCCTTTATACGGATACCATGACCTGACCCTTCCTGCTACACAGTGCCTAATCCTGTCCTTTATACCGATACCATGACCTGACTCTTCCTGCTATACCGTGCCTAATCCTATGCTTTATACGGATACCATGACCTGACCCTTCCTGCTACACAGTGCCTAATCCTGTCCTTTATACGATACCATGACCTGACCCTTCCTGCTACACAGTGCCTAATCCTGTCCTTTTATACATGACCTGATACACACCATGACCTGACCCTTCCTGCTACACAGTGCCTAATCCTGTCCTTTATACCGATACCATGACGTGACCCTTCCTGCTACACAGTGCCTAATCCTGTCCTTTATACGGATACCATGACCTGACCCTTCCTGCTGCACAGTGCCTAATCCTGTCCTTTATACGGATACCATGACCTGACCCTTCCTGCTGCACAGTGCCTAATCCTGTCCTTTATACGGATACCATGACCTGACCCTTACTGCTACACAGTGCCTAATCCTGTCCTTTATACGGATACCATGACCTGACTCTTCCTGCTACACAATGCCTAATCCTGTCCTTTATACGGATACCATGACCTGACTCTTCCTGCTACACAGTGCCTAATCCTGTCCTTTATACCGATACCATGACCTGACCCTTCCTGCTACACAGTGCCTAATCCTGTCCTTTATACCGATACCATGACCTGACCCTTCCTGCTACACAGTGCCTAATCCTGTCCTTTATACGGATACCATGACCTGACCCTTCCTGCTACACAGTGCCTAATCCTGTCCTTTATACGGATACCATGACCTGACCCTTCCTGCTACACAGTGCCTAATCCTGTCCTTTATACGGATACCATGACCTGACCCTTCCTGCTACACAGTGCCTAATCCTGTCCTTTATACGGATACCATGACCTGACCCTTCCTGCTACACAGTGCCTAATCCTGTCCTTTATACGGATACCATGACCTGACCCTTCCTGCTACACAGTGCCTAATCCTGTCCTTTATACGGATACCATGACCTGACCCTTCCTGCTACACAGTGCCTAATCCTGTCCTTTATACGGATACCATGACCTGACCCTTCCTGCTACACAGTGCCTAATCCTGTACTTTATACGGATACCATGACCTGACCCTTCCTGCTACACAGTGCCTAATCCTGTCCTTTATACGGATACCATGACCTGACCCTTCCTGCTACAGTGCCTAATCCTGTCCTTTATACGGATACCATGACCTGACCCTTCCTGCTACACAGTGCCTAATCCTGTCCTTTATACCGATACCATGACCTGACTCTTCCTGCTATACCGTGCCTAATCCTATGCTTTATACGGATACCATGACCTGACCCTTCCTGCTACACAGTGCCTAATCCTAATCCTCCTTCCTGCTCCTCAGTGCCTAATCCTGTCCTTTATATGGATACCATGACCTGACTCTTCCTGCTATACTGTGCCTAATCCTGTCCTTTATACCGATACCATGACCTGACCCTTCCTGCTACACAGTGCCTAATCCTGTCCTTTATACGGATACCATGACCTGACCCTTCCTGCTACACAGTGCCTAATCCTGTACTTTATACGGATACCATGACCTGACCCTTCCTGCTACACAGTGCCTAATCCTGTACTTTATACGGATACCATGACCTGACCCTTCCTGCTACACAGTGCCTAATCCTGTACTTTATACGGATACCATGACCTGACCCTTCCTGCTACACAGTGCCTAATCCTGTCCTTTTTAAACTTTCCCACGGTGCCTTTATCCACCACAGCTTCTACCTTTACTCTTACACTCAGACGCATTAAGTGATCATTTCAATAGAAATCGGCACTTTTTAAAATTGGGGGCAGAAAGACCTCCCTGGCTGTTAATACATGCATGTTTTATTTGTGGGTATATCTACTAAATTGTTTCTTTAAGAGATGCAGACAGAAAATGTCAGTTCCTTCTACTACGCCTCTTGCTGACACTGTATTCTCTTGTATGAACTGTAGAGGGCAGACAATACACAGCATACGGCCTCTGTGAGCTACACTCAATCCTGTTCACAAATTATATTCAGCCAGGAAATCAGAGCCCAGGGTGTCACAGAATATGGAAAGTTACCTGGAAACAAATAGGTAAACCACAATGGTGACAGGAGAAGATGGGGGGCCGCTAGATTCTACCCCTGGAATACGACTCTGACCCCTAACTTTTTGGGCTCTTTACCCAATGTATTCAACCCCTGTCATAATGAGACACCCCCCTGATTAAGCCCAGCTTAGAAAACAACAGCCGCCTGCAGAGGTCTGATTGCTTTTACCCAACGACAGCCCTGGAAGACAGGAAAATGCTGGTTTTAATGCACCCTAAGCAAAGGCAATCGTGACATCAGAAATCCTGTGACGGCAGACTAAACATGTCTGGGGAGGAGGGGGGATGGGGGTGGATGCAGAAAAAAATATTTTTTCAATAATGCTTTAAAATCTTGACATTGTATGTCGCACAGCCTCTCAGCAGCATCTTAAGCCATCATTGTAATTTATTTTATTTTTATTGCAACAGTAAGTGGGTGCAGCCCCACCAGTACCTATAGACCAGCCTCTGCTAGTGGCCTTCCAGGTAGATAACCTAATTCCGCAATGCAGCTACAAATATAGCCATCTCAACATCAGAGAACCTTTCACGTTATATTGGCAGCTCTCCAGCGAGCCAAGTGATTCACTAAACACTTCATTGTAAGGAGTAAAACTAAATGGCAAAGCTATGAGTATAGCCGCATTTTGCCATTCACTTTTCAGTAAGATTTGGTGTTTAATGAATTGTCAAGAACTCAAAGTGAATTTCAAATGTTAAATAAAAATAGTCAACTTGGAAAAAAAAACAAAGCCCGCTATAGTTTTTTTGGGGATATTTTGGGTTACAATTTGAAGAATATATTTAGAATAGCACATAGCGTTGTCACAGTCAGGGTACGTCATTAACAAGCACCTCCTACTGACGTGTGATATGCAAACCTTATACGATTGACAGCGTCTGTATGAAGCAGCTTATGCTTTATTTACACAAAATAAAAATACATTAAAAAGTTAGAAAAATAATAATTACAGTCTTTGGCTGATTAATGTAATGGGTCCGTGCTGGCTCCTTGTGCCATGGGCAGTGTCTCTGTGCATGCTTACTGCTGGTAGCGTGGAGAGGCTACGTGTGGTTGGAAGGCAGACTGTTTGGTGGCACTGAGTACACAGATAGACTGATGCGTGCTCAACACACATGTCAGATATTTTAGCTCCTCCCTCAGCAAGCGAATCTCTCTGCGCAGTGTGGAATTCAGTCGCTCCAGACTCTCGCTTTCCTGGGAATAGATTTAGAACATGTCAAGAGTACATTACATATAAACACGGATATACATTCATTTGTAGGGTTATGCCACTAGCCAGGCCTTACAAGTTACCCACCACTGCAAGCCACTGTATACCCTCCAGGGTGTTAGCGGGTGGGGGGGGGGGAAGGATTAGCCCTGCAGGATATCTATCTAGGCATTAAGCCATAGCATATTTACCAGGGGTGACTTGCCCTGTGTAAGAGTGTATACATAATTTTATATATATATATATATATATATATATATATATATATATATATATATATATATATATATATATAAAAAATAGAAATTATTCCTGCACTCACGTTTAAATAGCCCATAGAGGTCGGGTGCTAGCATGCCATGGCTAGTATTATTCATCCATCCAAAGTAGGCAGGAGCACTCACGTGTTAAAAGTCCAACATTTATTATGACATAGTATAAAAATGATCAACGTTTCAGTCCTGCATAGAGGAAATGGTTTTGATCCTGATGAAAGTCCTCTATGCAGGACTGAAACGTTGATCGTTTTTATACTATGTCATAATAAATTTTGGACTTTTAACACGTGAGTGCTCCTGCCTACTTTGGATGGATTTATATGTACACTAGCCAGTAGAAATTTTGCCCTGGCGTGTCTGCGATGGCATACAATTGCAAATCATGTTAAGGGGCTGGCTCAAAAGGACTTTAAATTTTAAGTCCTTTGGCTTGCTCTTTCTCGTGCTCTGTTTTTAGATATATATATAATTTTATTTATATTTTTTTTTTGTTACAGAAATTGGTCTTAATAAAAAGTTAAACAAATACTTGTTGCTTTAAATCAGATAATTACAGATACATTTCAGTAACACAATCATTCACTCAAAACAGAGAGTGATGCCGTTATTAGGGTGTTACATTAAGCTTCTAAATAAGCCATCTGTGTGCGCAAGGTGTGTACTATGCAGTTTATGGTTACCATATTACAACAGCAGTCCCTGATCGCCCTCCCTTCCGCAGAAAGCAAACCAGCAGTAACAGGAAGAAGGGGTCTGTAACCTGACAATTAGTTTCCTGAGACAATGGACTTTCTTAATCACCCAGTGCGGGAGGAAGCGCAGTCTATGGCAAGTCACAGTTACTAAGATTTTAAGTGAACTATTAATGTGCAGAGCGGTGCTAGTCATAGCACAGAATACAGACACGTGCAGAATCGCGTGTGTGTTTGCACAGTATTTCAGGTGTACTCACAATGTGCAGAGCGTCTGCTTTCTGTGTCTGTCTTTGGCGACTTTTTTGAGCCGCAATTCGATTCTTCTCTCTCCTCTGAACTTTCTTCATATCATCGGAGGAATCCTGCAGCCAAATGTGACACACACAGCTGTGACATCACAAAGAAAAGCAGTGACATCAGTGCAGACTGACAGAGTGCCATGACATAAGACGAGACCGACATGATAGAATTATGACATCACACAGGGCTGACATACATTTTGCAAGCGGTGACATTGCACATAGTCAGCAGACGGTCATCATGTTGCACTGGAAGTGAGAACAGGAACATACCTGTCTGTTACATGAAGATGGAGAACTACTGTATCCAGGCTCGTTGCTATCAGAATCTGGTTGCATGTCCTGTTGCCCACAAATTATTCACCAGACTTCACAGTCTCTGTTACCGATTGCTAAGTTTTTGTACACCTCCTTCCACACGTTTATCCAAATCAGATGTTAATCGCTTTCTGTGTGTTTCTGTCGGTGAGTATATTCTGGGCAATTCACTCCTGCTCTACCAAACATCCAGGGTGTCCGTTCCTTTCCCTCCTGCAGTTTGAATGACTGTCTCACCGAGCAAACCCTCTGTGTCTGTTCCTTTCCCTCCTGCAATATGTGTGACTGTCTCGCTGAGCTAACCCTCTGTGTCTGTTCCTTTCCCTCCTGCAATATGTGTGACTGTCTCGCTGAGCTCACTCTGTGTGCCTGTTCCTTTCCCTCCTGCAATATGTGTGACTGCCTCGCTGAGCTCACTCTCTGTGTCTGTTCATTTCCCTCCTGCAATATGTGTGACTGTCTCGCTGAGCTCACAGTCTGTATCTGCCCCTTGTTCGATGCCCTTTCTTTGTGCCTGTCTCCCACTCAGTGCCTCTCCGTCTCTCCCCCTGTTCCAGTTGAATACCTCTAACCTCAGCGCAGTCTCTGGACCCTCCCATGACGTGATCACCTTTCCCGTGTGGTTTTGGTGTTTGCAAACCTGAACTGGAAGTCACGAGACCAAGGCTTCTGAAAATGTCAGATTAAAATGAAAGCACATTGAGAATACGCTTAAAAATACCCAGAAAAAAACCCATACTTTCGTGATAGAGGAAGGGAGTAGGTGTGTGAGAGATGAGAGACATGTAGTACAAACAATTACGAAAAACACAGAGAAAGGAGGAGAACACGTTACACAGAGAAAGGATGGGACATGTTACAGGTGCGGTTAGAGACTGACCGATTGCCCACCAGACATTTACATGACTATTCACCAATTTTGGAAACATCCAAATTTATCAAATTAAGCTAAAATAAACACTAGTCATATACTGGCTATTTTAGCCTCAGTTTTGCAATTTGGTATTTATTTCACTTCAATTCAATGTGAGAGAGACAGTGAAAACGAGAGGGACCTTGCAAGAGTATCAGACTGACAGCAAGAGGGACATTCTGAGAGAGACAGGCTGACAGAGAGGGACATTCTGAGAGAGAGAGGCTGACAGAGAGGGACATTCTGAGAGAGAGACACAGACTGACAGAGGGACATTTCAATAGACAGACTGACAGAAAGGGACATTTCAATAGACAGACTGACAGAGAGGGACATTTCGATAGACACAGACTGACAGAGGGACATTCTGAGAGAGACAGACTGACAGACAATTCGATAGACAGACTGGCTGAGAGGGACTTTGTGAGAGACTGACAAGAGGGAAATTTTGAGAGAGATTGACAGAGAGGAAGTTTGTGCCAGAGAGACTGAAAGCAAGAGAATCCAGGGTTAATTCACTAAACATTAAATTGTTAACAGAAATCTGAATGGAAGATAAAAGTGCAGATTTGGAAAAACCTTAAACTGAGATATGCGGTCATGGTGTCTGCAATTTCCATTGTAACTCATCTAAATCTGGGGCTTAATTAATAAACAGCATTGTGAGAGCGATAGATTGGCAGAAGTGACAGTGATAGAGACTGACAGCAAAAGGGCCATAGTGAGAAAGAGACAGTCTTACAGTGAAAGAGACATTACAAGGTTATTCACTAGACCAGATAGTGTCAGTAATTCTCCAGGGAGCCAGAATGTGAGAGAAGAGACAGTCCGATGGACAGAGTAAGGAAGGGAAAGAGACAGACTGCAAGAGAACAGAGTGTTCAAGACATATATTCGCAAATCTGAGATTAAAATTTACAGTACGAAGAGAGAGCACGAGAGAGGAAAAAGGACAAACTATGCATGAGAGGGTAAGATCTGGAAAAATAACAATGAAGGGTATTCAATAAACTCTGAATCAGCAGCTGACTTGCACGCTTATGTAATAAAACATTGCAATTTGGATATTTACAAAAAAATAGCTTGCTAGACAAAATACGCATTCCACAATCCTTGAGCGCTAAACATATGAAAGCCCCCAGATGCACTAATAGAAAGGATCAAGTGATATGGTCCATTCAATCTCCTCAGACCACGGGCAGCAGTGCGAGGGTTAATAAACACAGTAAGGAAGCCCACTAAGAAAACAATCCAAACAGCTTCCTTCCTCTGTACTGTCTGCCCAACATATTGTGGTGTAAGTAATAAAATGTGTTAAGTTCTAGCAAACAAACATCACTATTTGTTTCCTCTGTTGACGCAGATTTACCAGTGGAAATGGATGCCACCCACGAGGCGGTAGAATTTGTTGGCACCAGATAAATACGAAAATCCCAGAAGCAGAGAGTTTTACTTATTAGATTTGAGCATTCCGTTTCAAGACAATTCATGAAACAAACAAAACGGACAAAGGACAAGTCCCTAATTCCATCCGTGGCACAAGGAAAGAAATGCTGGTTAAACGGATACTATAGTGTTAGGAATACAAACCTGTATGCTCCCTCTCTGCCTCCCCCCAGCCAATAAAGGGATAAAAACTATTCCAGCTCCCCTGATGTCATCCAACAGGGAGGACCTAATGCGCAAGAGCGGCGAGCAAGGACAGATATTAAAGGACCACTATAGTACCAGGAAAACAAACTTGTTTTCCTGGCACTATATGGTCTTTAGGGGTGGGTCTACATATTTAACATGCATTTCTACTGCTCCTTTTAGCCGTTCTATTTGTTACTTCTCACTTGATCTATGAACTAAATGGCACAGAAATGTGTGTTTCAGTGTACTGCAAAACAAACGCATAATTTTTACATTATGTAATTAAGAAATAGCTGCATTTTTGTGCCATTTTGGGTCCTCTCAACCCCCCCATCCACCCCGAAAGGATCACATGGACAAAATTAGTCTAAACCAATACGCCATATAGATATAACTCTATTCAATCAAAGCGCAAAAGAAATGAAACAAGTAGAATTTTTCTTGCCGTCTATAATAACGGTAGTGATTATTGTGCCAGCGCCGAGGTTGTTCGGCCCTACAGTTTGCCAATACTGTCTTCATTACATTTCAGCCTATCATTGTTTAAAGTGATTTTTGTCCAATTTAAAATCACCCACAGTGTATTTGGAAGTAACGCTGCTTAGTAAAACATCAGAAGCGATATCACATTGTACAATATTCTGCAAACCATAACAGAACACTCACTGTTAAAGCATTTGCATTTCCACTAGATTGAGCCAGAGACAACATTTCTTCTGCGGGGCGCTGCCATTACATGAAAATGCATGTCTCATCACTACATCCTTGTCTGTTTGTAAAAAGCTAGTGCTGAGTGGGTCATAGTTTTTCAGGATACAAACACCGAGCTAGGGACACTCTGAGCACCAATATTTTAATTATGCTGTATGCTTTGCATACTCAAATCTTTTTTTGCAGGATGCCCCCTCGTGTCAGAATGATTTCCTTATCAAATGTAGGTACACGGCTGGGCCACAGACAGCACTGAGTGAGCAGCTTTTAACAGACAACCAGGCTGTAGACAATCAGAGAAGCTTACTCTATCAGGATTATTTTGTACAGTGAGAATTCAGAGAGAATTTCAAATGTTAGGCCAGAGTAGTAGAAAAGACAGCATAGATGACCATTAGACATCCACTTTCAATGCTCACTTTTGTGAATAAACCTGTATTTCTCCCTGGGTGTCCTCTATCTAATGAAGCTTACTAGTTCAGATCACTCAGTACTGTCAGTGATTGGGCTGTGTACATACATTTGATAAAGAAATATTTTTCTGGAGTAAGAGGGGTGTGGCTAATGAGGCAGGTATATGGTTCATCATTCTGCAAAAAAAAAAAAAAAATTTAAATTTTGTTGTGCAAAAACTAAACCATATTAATGAGGCCCAAACGAATCAATCACATATATTAAAGTTGTGTAGGTACTCAGAATGGCCTTTAACAATCAGTGGAAAAACTCAGATCAATAGCCCACCTGATTGCACAATAACCCTACTCCATCAGCCCCCCAAATTATCCATAAATTAACATTCTAAATACTGAATTACCACTTTTTATTTTTGCAGATATGATTAAGTAAAGTTACACATGGATTGGGTTATTCGAGTAAACAATACGAATAATATAACAACCATGATACCCATAGGCACACAAACAGGGTAATGCACGAAAGTGGGAATTATAAGGAATGCAAATTTAAAGAGACACTATAGTCACCAAAACAACTTTAGCTTAAGGAAGCAGTTCTAGTGTATAGATCATGATCCTGCATTCTCACTGCTCAATTCTCTGCAGTTTAGGAGTTAAATCCCCTTTTTTGTCCATGCAGCCCTAGCCACACACCATGCATGAAAGAAAAATGTTTTCACTTTCAATTAGATGTAACTGACTTTAAATGTTCTTATTGCCTGCTCTCTAAAGTGAACTTTAATCATACACAGGAGCCTTCTGAGGGGTCTAGCAAGCAATCAACAGTGCAGGGGAAAAATATAATTTGCAATGAACATTAACATTAGATGACTCTTTACAGGAAAAGTTTAGGAAGGCTGTGCAAGTCACATGCAGGGAGGTGTGACTAGGGTGCATAAATAAAGTGATTTAACTCCTAAATGGCAGAGAAATGAGCGGTAACACTGCAGGGAAATTATCTATACACCAAAACTGCTTCATTAATCAAAAGTTGTTTTGGTGACTATAGTGTCCCTTTAAGGCCAAAGTAGTCAGACTGAAATCACAGGTTACTGGGAGAGTTTTTACAGTTCAGCCATTTTGTCCATAAATGTGAAATTCACCAGGAAGAACCCTGCTATTATTCTGCAGATGGCAGTGTTCTCACGAGTGTATGCACAATATTACCCCAGACATGACATGCTGCGAATGCAAGAGTTACTAACCTCAGAGGTGTTACTCACCAAATAAATGCTTCAGTGGTGGGAACGAGGAACTGTTACTTTCACAGGTGACGGTTCCGCTTTAAAGGACCACTATAGGCACCCAGACCACTTCAGCTTAATGAAGTGGTCTGGGTGCCAGGTCCAGCTAGGGTTAACCCTTTTTTCTATAAGCATAGCAGTTTCAGAGAAACTATGTTTATAAATGGGTTAATCCAGCCTCTAGTGGCTGTCTCATTGACAGCCGCTAGAGGCGCTTCCATGCTTGATTTACACAGTGAGAAGACGCCAGCGTCCATAGGAAAGCATTGGAGCAAGAGGAGGAGAGGAGACGGAGAGCTCCCCGCCCGGTGCTGGAAAAAGAGGTAAGTTTAACCCCTTCCTCTCCATCCAGCCCAGCGGGAGGGGCTCCCTGAGGGTGGGGGCAACCTCAGGGCACTATAGTGCCAGGAAAACGAGTATGTTTTCCTAGCACTATAGTGGTCCTTTAACATCGCTTATTACCTTCAACATTCAAACACTCTAAGGTTCTTATAGCATCAACAGCAAAACATCAGAAACAGAGCTTTCTTCCAAAGGACACAGACCAATAATTTAGGTTTTCATATTTTTATTGTCAAAATATCCAAAATTTACAGCAGAATCAGCACAACCTCTGCAGAGTATTTGGCCGTCAGACACTCAGCCAGACAAGCAGGACATGGGGACATTGTCCTGCTATGCTGGGGATATACAAGGGGTGTTCTACATTAGTTTATATTAGACTTAAATTTCAATAGGCCAAATTGTGTATGTGATTCATTAGCCCTTAACCTGTTGGAGTTGAGCATGAATGTTCACCATTGGTTGGAAGGCTGAAGAACGGTCTGCAAAAAAGGCTTTTCAAAACAACCAGCCAGAATGGGAGAGATGCAGTGTGCTCGTGCGAAAGGTGTGGGATGATTTAATCTGGATTTGCAAGTCGATCACTCGATCAGTTTCTTTGCTTTGAAGAAGCGTCGGAGATAGAAGACTTGCCAGGTAGCCAGTCCCATCAAGCAGCACATGGAGAAGATGCTGAAGTACAGGACACGGACATTGGTTGACTCTACGAGAGAATGTTGTTCAGTTAAATGGGATAATAGTTCTCATTGTATGGTGGTCACAGTTTGCAAACAATAGAGCACTGTGTATTATGTCACTATACCATTTGTATCTCTCATTTCTTCCTCCCTCTTCTTCATGTAGGCAAAATCATTCACTATGGATTCTGACAGATCTTCAAGACGTCGCAATTCCACTTCTAGCGGCTTCAGCTTCTCAACTTTTGCAATCTGAATGAAGAAAGAAGTGATTACGTATACACACAGATCAACATTTCTACTTACCTACTAGCCATTAGCAGATAGAAAACTACCCATTGTGACTATGCCACTTACTCCAGGCTTGAAAGGCAAGTAAATTGTACGACTGGTTAGTAGCATATGACCAGAAATTTTGAGCAAACAAAGAATCTTCAAGAAGCGTTCTAAATTCTACCAAACAACCTGCAGCACTTTATCACAGGTATTACCATCAAAATGACAGCAATTCATCCACAAACATAATACTGCACTCCAAAAACATACCTCTTCATAATTCTTTGCTTCAACTCCATGCTTCATGACTAGAACCACCATCTGGTCTGGCATACGGCCAGCCCCTGCTCAAATAAAGGAGAATGGAAAATTGGCAGACAATTACAAAAGCAAATTTAAATATGCAAAATTAACATAATTAAAGAACATGCAACTACCTTCATCACTCTCAATCAAATGATTAGTTACCTGCAGGGAGCTTGCTCTCAAAGCACACTTCAAACATGTCATAATCCTCAGTTGTGAAAGCAAACTTCCCTTTTGTGGCATCTTCCTTGGAGTACAGGATATGATTAGCGGAGTCTGTGATCTGCAAAAATGAAAGAGAATGTTAGTGATCCGAGGAACTGTACACAACTTATACCCTTCTAAAAAAAAACACTGGTTGCCATGTTCTAAGCAACAATAAAAGAGGGGAAGCAAACTGAACAATCCATGCACCATAAGAAAATATATGTTCTTTACATAGGTAAAGGTGCAAGTAGGTCCTTGTACATCGTTTCATATCACTAGGGATTGACCGATTATCGCTCTGGCCGATATTCGGTATCAGCCTATAGAGATACCGATATTGCCGAGAATACATACCAGGACCGCCGGGCTTCCTGTAGGGCCCGCAGCAAGCTCTTACATACCTTCCCAGCAGCTCCCCCGTCTAAATCTCGCAAGTCCCATGGCTGTCAGAGCATTGCCACGGGTTGGCGGCACTGACAGGCCGGGGGCAGTAGTTACGGCGAAGGCCGGGGGCAGTAGTCATTGTGGAGGCCGCTCAGTAGTTACAGTGGCGGCCAGGTAGTAGTTATAGTGGAGGCCGGGCAGTAAATACAATGGAGGCCGGGGTCAGTGTCAGTGGAGGCCGGGCAGTAGTTACAGTGGCGTCGGCAGGGACGGTGGAGGCGCCGGGCGTCAGTGTCAGAGGAGACGCCGGGCGTCAGAGGAGGCCGGATAGTAGTTATAGTGGAGGCCAGAGTCAGTGTAGGCCGGGCAGTAAATACAATGGAGGCCGAGCGTCAGTGTCAGAGGAGAGGACGGGGGCCGCAGGCACAGTGGAGGACGGGGGCCGCAGTTATAGTGG